GGCATATTTTAAACAATTTGCCGACAAAGACTTGTACCATGCAAAATCCATTATAAGCAAAATGGCAAACATTACTTGTATCATTTCGACAAGATGTCCACAATTTGATGCAATAGCCGTGCTATAAATCCACAGTAATTTTTCTCGCATGTTACGCCAAGAATCTCCATATCCCTCCTTTCCTGATGACACCATCTTGAGGAGATCTTGCAAAACCGTGCTGCAAGGAACATCAAGAGTGAATGGAAATAAATGTTTAGAAGAAAGTAAGCAGTACATCCTAAGGCCACTTTTGGTATTTCAAAAAGAAGATACCCTAATAATAACTACTTCCCTTTCTGATATTGCCATTCTCAAAATTCATCCAAGAAGCAGTAACACATAAACCTAATCTCACATCTGAACACCACAGACACCACTCCTAAGACGGCCCACAATTCATGAAGCATCTTCGAAGTAACATGTATAAAAGCTTTCTTAAACTGACCAATCCTCCAACTGTAGAAGACTATTGAACAGAACCAGAAACCTTTAGTCTTGGTATCAGTGGTTTCTTCTTTGAAAAGGTTTAGCGCAGGTTTAAATTCTAACTAGTTAATGAAACAATTGTGCAAGATAGAGGGTAAGTGGCACTGAGATAAGTACAAACCATAATCTATAAAAACACTACATATATTGTACAAATAATAATCCGTTCAAATTTTATAAACATACCGATACTCAGTCTCCTCCACTCCATAATCAAGGTGAAGAAAATGAATACGCGAAACCACTCCATCCACATCACCATCCTTCATGCACTCTTTCATAGCATCCAAGTGAGCTAACTGAACACTCCTTTGTATCAAACCAAGAACCTTCAAATCCTCCTTGGACATTTCCCCTGCATTTTCATCCCTCCTCACAGTTATTGCTAAACCCGAAGAATCATTACCCCTCCCATCCCCTCACTTGGCTCTGTATATTCCAACACAACGCGTCAAAAACATCACGGTTCTCCCAAACTACGCTCCTCAAACACATCAATTCGCCTTCCTCAATAGATACAACGCCTGCAGCCTCATTTTCACTCCC